GGCTACTACAAAGTTATAGGTAAATTTAATAAGAAAAACATCAGTCTTTAGTAGCTTTTTTTTAATTCATAAATATGTATTAAGCATCAAAGAAGCAGTGAGAATCAATAGGACTGGACAGGAAGTTTTAGTGAAAACACAGAGGATGCTGGATTAGTAAACTGAGTGCTGAAAAGAAATGGCAAGCAGCTGGAAGCTGAGATGGAGTGAAAATACAAAAGTAACAAATGGAGATAAGCTTTAATGACACGGTAGAATCATTTTCTCAGTTTATTTGCTAAGACAGTACTTGTAGGTCTCCATCCCGGAAATTCTAAAAAGTGTTCTACAAACCCCATGAAAATCTTTCAAGGGTTTATGTAGAAGATCACAATGTTGATTCTTTGGACTGTTCCCTTTACAAAAGTTAAGGTGAAACTGAAATACTGTCACCTTTCATGCTACCGAAATCCATGCATGAATATATCTCTTATCTCAATATACCATCCAACATCTCTGTTTCTTATTAGCAGAAAAAAAATGCCTGCTCTCTGAGTCTTGTGATAGTTTGAAATGAGAAGCATAGCTCATACAGTTTTTAGTGTCTGAAATTAATGTTGTACTGAAAAAGACAGGTTGAAGAAAATGGAACTAGATTTCTTTGGATTAGGCAAGAGAAAACCAGATAGGAGTATATAAACTATATGAAAGGTTAATATATGAAAGTGATACAAGAGAACGGTGATTGTTCTACACATCCACTGGGAATGGAACATAGGTACATGAGTCTTACTTGCAGAAATGAAAATAAGATTAAATGGGGTGTTAGAAAAAAGCTTTCTATCTATAAAACTGTAGCACTGGTGACAATTATCTCTAGTGTCCAAAATTCCCTCCATCAGAGGTTTCCAAGAGCATGATTCTGGATATTCTTTCAGCTTAGAGTGCTGAACTGGAAGTTCTCTAGAAGTCTTTTCCAACCATGTACTCCTGTGTTTCCACAAGATTCGTGTGCACATTTGGGGATTAATCTCTTTCAGTACTAGCCTTATTTATATGAATGATTATGCCAAGTAATTTCCAGCAAAAGTTAGCAGTTAATATAACTTAGAAACACAGTATGTTTTTGTCCTTTCCAAACAATTTGTGAGATAGGAGTTCAGTATGAAGTATCCTGTTTTCATTTACATGTACATATACTACAAAAATATTACAGTTTTGCTTTCAGATGCTATAAGAATTACTATCAACTTTAAAAGGATGTGAAACACCAAAAAATACATTTTCACCACAGGTTTTGTTACAAGACTTGCATATGCAATACATGGAACAATTTAAAAATCATTTTGATGCATTATGAATCACCTGTAAAAATCTAAATAAGTGAGGACATTCTCAATTTGGTAAATATTTATAGAGCCAAACAATATGAAGTATATGTAACAATCAAATTTCTAGTGAAAATGTATGCAAGAAGGTTTATTTTGAAAGGACAATTCCTACTCCCAGTGTCATACCCAATTAAATTCTCCAGGTAATGACCCCATTTGCATAGAGAGCTGAACCCACAAGTGGGAATTTTAATGGGCACACCACCTGAGTACATTAATTGAGAGTGACACTACTTGAACTAGTTTTGTGCTTACCCCACTGAAAATTCTACTCATATTATTTTTAATGTCAAGCTACAAGTCAAATTTCAAGATGATGGATTTGTTCTTTTTTAAGCATTGAATTTGAATAAAAGAAGGCTTTAATTCTGTTATGCATTGCATACCTTTAACTAATCTGTAGTTCTGATTCTCACCATTGCTTCATTTTTTCAGTGATTGGAATTTAATTTTATTCATTAATTTGTGAATAATTAGATAGAAAATAATGCCTTCAGCAGCTAAATTACTTCTGGATTGCTGCTTAATGTATTTTAACCAGAATATGTGTTACAGTTAGGCTGACATAATAGTTTACTAAAATGTAATTGTGTAAATATGTCTAATTATTCTTTCTGAAGAAACAAGATTGAATATAAAATTTCAGTCATGGATACCTTAATTTTCTTAAACTTAACCCCACGAAAGCTTGGTAGTTGCAAAGCAGATTACTGATACAGAGTGAGCAGTGGTCAATAGAAGTGAGTCCCTTGCACCACATTTCCCTTTATGCTTCACATGCTACTTCTAATGACCTTGAAGTTACTGTAGATTCTAAATCACTGCTATTAGTCTACATTAAATATGTAATCAAGGTGTCTCCTCCTCACATGAAGAAACAGACAAATGGAGTTGCATTTCCTAGGGAGGAAAGCAAACCCATGTTTTTTAATACATTTATTCTTCCCTGTTTCTTCTTATTAGTCCTCAGTAACTGAAAGTAGCACAGAATGTAAAAACTAGCATATATATATATATATATATATCTGTTACTGTAAAATATATTAATTTTAAATTAATGTACTAGTCTTATTCTTGTGAACAGAACTATTTTGAATATTGCCAGTCTGCAAGACTCTGCAGAATCCAACTTAACAGAACTTTTGGTTCTTTATTTGAGCAAGACAGAATCAACACATTTCGATTTCCATATGTTTTAAACATAAACAACTACTGAGCTACAGTTACTTAGATGAAGTCCAGAGTTCCAAAGACATAATTTTTACAAGTCTGTTTGACTAGAAGTTGCATATAGCAGTGAATGTAAAAATATGACGAAATAACTTACAGTGTAACATGTATTGTGGTATTGTCCTAGACCTCCACAATGAAGGCCCTTTCTGTTCTCTTTGAACAACAAAGATTTAAAAGAAAAACAAAGCCAAATATACCACCTTGTGATAAAGCTAAAGAGACTAAGGTAGACACTGTGGATTTGGTGCCTAAAAAAGCAGGATTGTAATGTGAAACATATACAAGTTAGAGTACAGACTATTCACAGTGTGGTCACTTCATGCAACTTGGAGATGAGACAAATTGCTGAATCCTACATCACTGATTGAAGAGGGATTGTGTAGTGCTTGGGCACCAATCACATACTCTACTGAGATGATATAAAGAGCCTCAATTAAGGTGGAGTATTTTGTCAGTTAAAATATCACATGCATATCGGAATAAAAATTAGTAAGATAGTATTAAAGGTATAAAGGTATTATACAATCTTTCATCTAACATCCCATTTTTATGAATACTGGATGGCTATGTACTAACAAATGCTATAACATGCATACATAAAAGAAGAAAACAGGATTGTATGCAGTGCACTGGAACAGGTTGCCCAGAGAAGTTGTGAATGTTCCATTCCTGGAAGTGTTCAAGGCCAGGTTGGATGGCAAGTTGAAGGCGTCCCTGCTCACAGCAGGAGGGTTGGAACTGGATGATGCTTAAAGTCCCTTCCAACTCAAGCCATTCTATGAATCTGTTATTAAAAACCATATAGAGATTAAGATGACCTAATGAAACTCTTGCAGAATTATGATTCGGAGAAAGTTCTCTCTTTCCAACTATAGTAAAAGTAGCTTATCATATTAAAGATTTCTAAAGAAGAGAAGAGCGATCCTTTTATGCCATGAAACCATAGGTAAATAGCATAAGCAAGTGTTTTGTACAAGCAACCAACTTCACATTCAAGCGTACTGAGCACACTCAACAAGTGCATCATGGAAGTGAGGGCACTATTATTTTTACCTAACTTCTTTCAATATCCTGACACTGAAATTGAGTTAAGGTCCCCCTGCTCTCTTTGGGAGTGCTAAGAACTGGCAGAAGGGTTAGAAGGTAGAGGAAAAAGTACGATTAATGCCTGTAGGATTCTAGAGCTACTAGTGTCACCATCAACACTATATGGAGTCTTCCAACACATGGTGTATGCACTTAAATAAAGACAGGGAGAACAACAGAGAAAAGACACCAGGGAGATATTTCTCTAAGGTTTAGCTTAATTTTGGGGCCAAGAGTAAGATTTCAGATGTATGATTCATTTGATGATATATATGTTGCCTTCCAGAAAGTTACAAGAGTGCAGACAATAGGAGATTTATCTGGAGATACATTGATGCAATTGGCATTGCTCTCCAAGAACATATATCAAATATTGCAACCATTAAGACAATTTAAAAAAAACCTAAATATGTGAAGAGTTCAGAAAAGTTTATCATTTAGAATATTATAAATACAGTGATTCATCAAAGTCAACAAACAGTTCTTAACCTGAGTACTACAGCTGAAATAGAGTAATTAGTCAATCAAAAAGCTCCTGAATGATCCTGATCCTTCTTCACAACAGGTATTTTTTTCTAGAAATATTATGTTTTACAGCTACTGGCTAGAACACCTGTAATAATTCTCAAATGATGCTATTTGTCTATGTTTTTATTACTTCTCTTACTAAAACAATTATTTTCGCAAATGGTCTCAATGGCAAGACTTCATGATACACACTCCAGCATAATTTCTGTCAGTTTTATTATCTTTCCTCTGCAATACCCAGAGAAGCAACATTCTTAGACCCTCCAAAGGCCCACATATACACAGACATGGTAGAATTTTCAATAAATTCTGCATGCAGACATGCAGTTTCTGCAGTTTTAAAGTAACATAAGCATGTTCACACAGCTTTGGACAACATGAAAAAAAATCTTTGGTTAAATCACAGTTGGAAGTCTACTCCATCTGTGTTTAAACTAACTGATTTTAAAAACATACCTTAATTTAAAATAGTGGTACTGTGTGCAAGCCTTTGTTTCCCAGGCCACATAGACAATTACACCGTAGTATGTCTTCTGCAATACTATGAACCAACTACACTCTTGGTTCAGCTTGTTTTCAGAATCTGAGTTGGCTTAGCTCCACCTGTAAGACAACTTGTGTACACTGGTTCACCCTCTGTGTAAATCACTCAAAGAACAACATAACACCTTCATGAAGTGTCATAATGGAAGAAAAACCACAAATAGACATGAAATTATATGAAATTAATGTTCAGAGGAGTAACAATGCAAGATTAGAAGACAAAGATATCCCAAAGTTTCAAAATAAAGATCTTTATTTCAAAATAGTGTTTGTAAGTAGCACATCCAGTTGATATAAAATACAAACAGCAAGTTTTTCAAATGGGCCAGTTTGCAGAACTATATACTGAAACACTGTACAAGTTACAAAAACTATTATAAAATAGACAATTAAGTTCTGATATTTTAATTTTATTTAAACTCTATTTTCACATTTGACTCCTAATTCTGCTTGTTTTAATTACACAAGGTGCTTACAAGATTGTTTATAGAGTGAAAACTACAAAACAGAATTTAAGAATATAAATATAGAAAGGAATTCCTTAAACTACATGCTAATATTCTCTGCTACAAAGATACATTTTCCAAAAGTGCTAATATCTCTATGACAAACAGTAGCAGATTGCATTTAAATGTCAAACAAAACACACAATTTTTTATTTTTTTCAACTGTCTGTAATACTTTGATACTTCTAATCACTATGAGGTTTAATAACACTATTTTCACTTCCTAGTATTTCACAAATGAAGTGGGAAAAGACATGTCTGCATATGTGCATCCATGCGAGTGACAGAGTATGAACACATATGCATTTATGCACGAACCAAGTTTTTGTAATTATTATTTGTATTTTAACAGTAATTGAAGTGAATGCTTAAAAAAAAATACATTTCCCAGGTTTTCATAATTCCGACAGATCAAAAACCCTTATGAGTTCCTATAAGTAGAAACAAGGGTTTGTACAGGCCAAACTGTACAGATAACTTTTACACAGGAAAAGGACTCCCTAGATTGGTATTTTCTCTCTTTTTTTTTTTTTAAACCATATCATCCTGTGGTAAAAGTAACGTTTAGTAAGATTTAGTATTTTTAAAGCATCATATACAAATGTGCAGTTTTCCAAGCACAAAACTGGAACTGCTCCAGCTGGCATGGATATTGGGGTAGGACAAGAGACTGGAAGACCAGTTCTCTGTCCCCAAAGGCACATTCAGACAAGAAACAGCCATAATTCACCTCTCTGTGACCAGAAGGACATGAGGAAAGACAGTTCATGGTGGTGGTTAGCCCCAGAGAACATGTCCCACCATGACGGTGTCAACTATAGACCTACAATGGACAAAGCACTGTCTCGACTTTTCCCAAGGTGCATTGAGTCCCAGTGCTTACTGTGATGCCCCCAATTTCCCCAGAGGCATTATGTCTTACAAAGGTAAAACGGCTCCAGGCAATGCCACTCAGCCAAGGCACCTCTTCCCCCCTCCCAATGTGGTTCAGACTTTTAGGAGTAATAATTGAGCCCCATAGGTCAGATTCTGAGCACTGGGAATTTATCAGTTTAACTATGTGATTCCTTATTAGCCTGCCTATTACCATAATATTTTTTTGCTCTCTAACTGGAGCTAAACCAATGGAAAATTCTGACATGAATGGAAATGCGCGTAGTTGATGCCAAGCAGATCAGAATCTGGCCCAATATATGGGAAAAAAACCCATAATAAGAAATAATCCTTGTAGTAACCATAAAAAACAGAGTAGGACACCCTCTGCAGGTGAATCCACATTGCATCAGAATACACCACAATATTGCATATGTTAAGGCAAAATGTAACAATTCCCAGCTCCCCAGTATAGTTGAGGGTTTGGTTATGTTACCTTCAGTGATAACTTGCAGTAGTAGGCACTACTAGCCAGTGTTCACAAGAAGAAGCTTTGGTTAATATCAGACAATTTGTTGATTTAGCTTCACACTCCTGTGATCTTTAGCTTGTCACATTTGCATAAACTGAATTCACTATAGAATAAAGAGACATTTATGGTCAATTCACTCAACACATATATGCTATTGGCTATTGATGATTCTTGTAACAAGGCCTAAATTTATGAGATCTAGCAACCTACAAATGGGAATTCTGAAGTGTGGATAGGAAAGTTTAAGTACGTGAGATCAAGATGTGTAGGTGGTTTACACAGAAAACTTTACGAGCTACAGACATGGAGGGAAGAAACTAGCAGGTGGTAAAGAAAATGGGTGTCTTGATTACCTAAATCTGGGAATGTGATAAACCTTTTTATGTGCTGAAAAAAATTCATTTCACAATTACAATTACAAAGAGAGGTATTTCTTGGAAAACCCTGATGGTATAATAGGGAAAAGGTTGTCCAACAGATCCTAACTATTTTTCAAACATTTTAAATCCCAGTCCTTTTGTTTTCAAAGGCTATCACACATTTTTAAAATGTCCTTTTTTATACAGTTATTTTAAAATAACACTTAAAATGTATTTGAGAATAAACATTTTTTCACTTGCTTTTTGCATTCAATGACAGAATTCCTTACTCAAGTGAGTTTTAATTTGGTCTTTATATTTGGTTTAAATTCTGCTACCCTCTGTGGATCTTTCTCACACAGTGAAGAAATAAATACTAACTTTTGTGACACTGGCTCTAAGGTCACAAACACTGACTGGGCCACTTAATGCACAGGTTGAGATTCTTGAGTTAACTTCTAATAATTTCCCCCTTACAACCAAATTTTGAAGATTTGTTAGTCTATTAGTTTGTTACTCTAAAGATATATGTCATGTCTAGACAGATTTCAAAAGTCTCTTTCTAAAAAGAAGCATTTCAAGTAATAATAGTACTGAAGTAAAAAATAAGTTCTCTATTCTGTCTTGATTGATAACAAAGAAATCCTGGTACTCTTCTAGTCCATCACAAAACTTACACTTGACTACAGTTTTTTTGATAGTATCAATATTGACAATGCAAAATACCAGGAATCTCTCTCTCAAACCAATGAGATATTAAAAACAAAAGAAATATTGCTAACTTGACCATTGTAGCAAAACCAACAATAGATTTCTGATGTTGGCTTTTGAATTAAGCTTAAAATAATAGAGCAAAGTTGCTTTCAACCCAAAGAGATAGAAATAAAGATGTTTTGATTTTCAGAAAGTCTGTAAAGGTACGTTATGCATGGAGGCATTCGAGTGTTTAAACACTAAAGTAGGTAAAGGCAAATACTTAAGGCTTTGCTCTGAAGTCTGTTCTCTGACCAAAACCTATCACTCAATTCAAATGGTAATTTTGCCTTCATACAGCCTGTGGTATCAGGCCTATAAATTGGTTTCAACAAAGTCTTCCATTTGCAAAGACAAAAGGAAGCTGGAATGTAGCTTTAGTTTCACATACAAAACTATACAACCTGCGTTAGAATACAGATTTGAGGATTGCTTTTTAAAAAAACATTTATATAAAGGGAATTAGCAGTGCAATACCAGTTGGTTGTGTGAAAATCTTACCTTGTCTTTCTTTAAATGCTTTTAAAGAAAAGCTCTCCAGTTTTACAGAGAATAAAATAAAAAGGGATAAATATTTCATGATGGGAAGCAGATTCCACAGCATTCCATGCAGATCTCCAAGCAGTCTGAAGATTCACAACATGCGTCCATTATGCCACAGTCCATATCACACGGGCAGTTACAGTCATCTCCCATCTCGTCCCCACAGCAACAGCAGCAGGCTTCTGATGTGCAGATGCCACAGGATGCTTGTCCCAGAACAATGTTACAGAGGGTGAAAAATTCACAGAACAAGCAAGCCAGGATACAGTGAACACAGCAATCTTCATATGTAATAGTTCAGTAGCACATCATGAACAAAAAAACCCCCCCCAAAAAAAAAAAAAAAAAGGAAAGAAAAAAGAGGAAATAATTAATATCTTATTGTAAATCCAGATATATCACTATGTCAAATAAGTAGCTGAATGAAAATTATTCTGACTAGATATAAACTAACACCACAAAAAATGTTTCCCATCTTTTCAGGACTGGTTTTGGTGCAAGTTTCTTGTCATCACTTCCCTTTATGCAAATCCCAAGTACAAAACATCTGCTCCAGTCATTTATTATGTAAAATATCTGTATCTATTATCTTCAGTTTTAACTTCTTCTACACAGTGATTGAAAATAATAAAATTAGAAAAACAGTTAGTGAGGGAAATTACCTAAAATTATTTTCAGCCTCTTCCAGTGCATCTCACCCTTCTAAATCTGTTTTGTTGACTTGGTGATTATGAAGGAAAATAAAAGCATGCAGCATGCATGTCATAATAGCATGCAGCATAATAGCATGTCATATGCATTTCTTACTTTCAACAGTATGTAAAATATTCAGTCAAAACAGATTTTTCTATTGCTTTTTTATACAAATCTATTGGCAAACCTTTTAATGTACTACTTTAATCTTCCACAGAGTTCATAACTACATCTGAACATCAATATCCATGTCTTATAAGTACTACGAAATTATATGAGATAATTAAGGTGTCCCACAAACCATCTGCAAAAAATATGGCACCCAAAGAGTAAATATATGGAATAACTTCAAACAATTAATATATCCATGAGACATGACAGGTAAACACAAAGATTGGAATCAAACATGTGAAAACTTAAAAATAGAAGAAGATGGAGAAATACTTTCTTCCTAGCCTCAACTTTCATTCTTCTTTTTACTGCTTGCAAACCTTGAATTCTTTAGCCACAGACAGGTGAAGATTGGGAAAATGTTCTGGGGAAAATATCCTGCACAATCTCACCCTTTCCCTGTCTATCACTAGTATTTTCTGTGAGAGGCTGTTAGGAATGACAGGATATTGAGACACATGGGCAATTGTCTGTCCACCTATAGATGTTATGTTCTATAGATGTTATGTTCTTACAGTTCACAGGCTGTTACTTCTGTCATAGGGGAAAACTTGCAATTACTTGCAACAGTTATACTATTCTCAGGCCTTCTAAACAAATTTATAAATGTAAAAAATTATGCAGTAGCTATGACAAGTATCTTGATTGATTCAAAATACCTCTAACATTGCAGAAACTCTGACTGCAGGGTAGTGCAGTGATGACTTAACACCAGAAAGTATGAATACTTCAGCAATGCAGCAACAGAGGCTCAGAGCTTACTATACTACTTAGATACAACACTTAGCTTGGATATACCTCTACCGAAAGGTCTTAAGCCTCAACTAGTCACACTCATAATGTACTAATGAACACTTATGCTCAAAAGAAAACTGAAATATCAGAAAAAGCAAGATGGGGAAAAAAACCCGTAACCTCCAAAACTCCCTACTACTGTGCAGGAAGTAAAACTGAGAGGAAACCACAGGTAAGATTAACCTGCTTTTAAAGAAAGTTGTTGCTTGCATTAAAAGGCTGTTTTTCATGAAGTCATACTGTTACTAAATAAATGACCTTCATAGAAAGCACAGAGGATATCTTAAAAAAAAACTGGGGAGTATCAGTTCACTGAAGAGGACCAAAGCCAGTCCGATAGCAATTAATCAGCTGGTTGTCATGGAGATGGTGTTAAATTTGTTCAGGTACAATCTCCTTTCAGATTTTCTTTTAATATGAAGGGAAAAGATAAAGAAGCCAAGAGTTCTATCTAAGAAGCCTTCATATTTGAGGAATTGAGGTTTTACTATTTTGTGTCCTTAAAATACAGCTGAAAGAGGCTAATACAACAACAAATGTTTTTCTACAAATGTTTTAGTACACCATAATCAACATTTATGTGTTTTGGTATTGAAAAATAAAACAAACAAATCTTGCCTGCATTAAGCAGCATATGAAAAATTGCAGGAGAAGAAATAAACATTCACAGATGTTATACGTACTTGTTGATGGGCAAGAGACAGAGTTCATAGGTTAAACAAAAGGGACTACATTCAGAAAGCACTTTCTGGACCCACAAAAGAACTTTTCCCTCCTAATCTATAAAACCCACCAAATCAAGACTTACAAGAAGAGGCTGTGTTGATTCAAATAAAGGTATTTCAAAGGTAAAAATTCTCAAAAATCGTCCAAGACCCGGTAAGAAATTTTGGCCACTAGTTTTATTATGGAAACTCTGTAGAAGGTCTCTTTTTCCATCTCTTCTTCACTGACTGAAACACTAAAAGGATTTTTTACCCCTTTTTTATTTTTATTTCCTTCTCTCCAGATGGCAAAACTAATTTTCCATTCAGAAAATCTTTATATAACAATTTTACTTAATCTCCACAAACAATTAACATAAAGTAGAGATATCCTTTACTGCTCTCTTTATTCTTCCAATGACTCATTTGTACAATGATCATAAACTTTGATCCACATTTCAAGGACAAATCTGAAATAATCATGCTTTTATGTTCTTCATGTTATTGACTTTTAATAGCTATCCAGGTAGCAATTATTTAACACATGACAAAGCATGCTGTTACCTAGTCCTACCTAACTTGCTGAGTTCATAATCATGACTCTAAAGGGTTGTAATACTGTTGGATAAAATGGGTGGAAGAATAATTTCTTCCATAAATTACCCCTCTTTCTTAGCTTCTTATCTAGAGATGCAATTATAAGATAAAAATATAGTTACAGTGTGTTTTTGTAGTAATAACAAACCTACATGCCACACAAAACATCCTTTTCTAATACCCATATTCCTACAGCAACCTGTCTGTTCCACAGAAGACATTTTACAGCTAAAAAACACTTCCTTAGACTGCTGTTGCTGGGTGGCATGATCTGTGGAATGCAGCCGTGAGGGTGTTATATATATAGCTCACTCCAAAAGAGATGACCACAAGCTTTTCATTACAATGTTGGAGACTACTACAATATATTTCACTGCTTGCATAAGACACTCCAATACTTTTTTTGTGATTACAAGACCAAGGAGACTATTTTAAATTACACATTATTCCAAATTTCAAAACTTTTTCAACACGTTAAGAATAAAGACTATATTTAACTTCCACTCATTGACTTTACCACATCAAAATCTTAATTTTTTTTTATTTTTTTTTTCCAGATGAGTAAGGAGTGGAACACTTTAATCTAACCAGAATTAAACATAATTTCATCATGTCCGGGCTTCGCGAACGAAGATTTGGGAAGGCTCCATCCACATTTGTTGCATGCACGTTGGTGACTTATGAGGCCAATACGAGACAGACATATCTGATTGCAAAAGGCACAGCAGAAAGACTCTTTGGATGGTATATTCTGCAGAACACGGTTCTTTCTGCGTTTCTGCCTTTTCTCCTCAAGAGTGATCCTGTGTGTGTTCTCAAAGGAGACAGCTGCGTTATAGATGGTGTTTCTCCAGACCTCCCAGTTTGAGGTCAGAGTAGACCAGTTATGTTGATCAATATGGCCAAGGCTGAGATGTTGTTTCAGGGAGTCCTTGTATCTTTTCTTCGGGGCTCCTCTCATAATTTATATATTTGTAAACTGGATTACTTTAATGTCTGACAATGCGTTTTTGAGTATATTTTAGTCTTTTCTAATGACGAAATGATACAGTAGTATCAGTTATGACACTGGTGCTATCTTAAAATTATCTATTTCTTTGTTTTCGTTTTTGTTTGGTTGTTTTTTTAAGAATTAGAGGTTTTCTCATTCTTCTTTTCCCATTAGATATATTAATGCAATTAAGAATTAGCGGCATGTCTTTATTGAGGACCAAACTCCATCAGCCTTGATGTTCAGGATGCAGTATTGTTGGTAATAAGTTAACTCTCAAGTTTCTTGAGGTTTGAATTTTCATTAAACTAATTTCTTTTTCTGTGAATGTATTTAAGTGTCATTACATAGGTCAACCATTAATGAAGATAATCTTTTCCTTAGGACTGCCACACTACACCACAGCAGTCTCAAATTTCCATAACTTTTCAATTCTTATATTACACTTTTTTCTAATTAATGGAGAAATGCTGCACTACAGATTGTCACTAAACAAAAGTGAGGATGTGGGGTGCAAACACTGTATAGAGGTAAACTTTGAAAGGAAAAAAAAATAAATACTCTGAACTAGTATATCTACCTTAGTTCCTTTATCAAATGCATTTGATTTCATCAAAGTACAGTATCACATTTGTTGACTATGATCCAAGCTCCCAAAAGCTATGTTAAATGGCATAAATTACAATAGACTTGTTCTGTAGGCAGTGATAGCATACTTTATTAGACCAAGTCACATTTGGGAAAAAAAGATGAGCTTTCAGACACTCAAGCTTATCTTCAATTATTCTTTCATTTTGCCTGGGATGAAAGCTAGACCTGATGCTAAAAGGATCATCCCATACGGCATTTTTAAAAACCAAAACAAGTAAAGCTGTTTTTTAGTCTTTTGGCACATCCCCAAAAGTTACAGATTTGTTATGAAACTTCATCAAAACTGTTAAATAATGCCAAGACAAAGAGAAACACAACCAACACATCCAAGTTTTTGCTGCTTTATATGGTACGCATACATTCAGCTACTTTGTGCAGATCTAACCAAAGATTGTATACAGTACATATAACATCTACTTTAATGGGTTTAGAAATGTTACCACAGACAATATCCAGAGAAGATATAGGCCTAAAATCCCTTCAAACTGTTTACACACTGTTATTCAAAGCCCAGAAGGCCCCACTTATAACTTACTCCAGTTATAACTGCTATGCTCATTAAAGGAAAAGAAACAATATCAACAATAAAACTATTTTTATGTTTATCCATGTCTTTAAATATTTGCATGCACATACCACTTTTTACTTCTAAAATCTTTGCATACCCTGGTATCCAATT